ACTCGTAGGGAGCTATTTGACTAAGTGCATTGTTTTAAGATTTAAAAAGTAAAGAATATTTTATATTTTTATGTACGTTTCTTTACAAAGCTATATTTAATTATAATTTTCTTTAAAAGTATATTAATATAATTGAAGAATATTTTGTACCAGGTATGTAATATGTACTGTACAGTACATCCGCCACACATTTTGTTTCACCAAGTAAATTTTTATTATTTTATTTATAATTTTAGCTCTTATATCGTGGCTAGCGATTCGAAATGTAATTATGATATTAAAAATACAATTAGAGAAGTCTATGGTTTTTACTGGCTTATCGAACAAACGAATACGAATGGTTCCTAGACCATCACTGACACGCAAGTAACTGATTGCCCCTGGAAGTCGGCTTCCTATAGAAACACAGCTTCCTTATCATCAAATGTCACGGCACGCCACTGCGAATTAAAGAGAATTTTCTATAGTGAGAAAAACATTTATGCATTGTAACTAGGGTTTCTCAAACGGGATCCCGGTTGTTTTTTTAACCCGGGAAATATCCCGGGAAATTTTTCTTATCCCGGGAAATCCCGCAAATTTCTTAAAAATTCACTTTTTTTCTTATTTTGTGTTAAGGTTGAGGAATTTTGCAAATAGAAAGCACAATTAACTCATTCACTGTCAGAATACATTTGTATTTATTAATTTTAAACCTACCTATTATTTTTTTTAAATTTTTGCTCGTTATAGCATGTCACAAATGGTCAATAATCAATATATAGCTTATTTGTGGCAGGACTATAAAAATTCTTTACTTGTCGGAACCTGTAATATCTGGAATAATTGTGCTTACGCTGTCTTGAGTTTTAACCATGCCCAGTAGCTTCAATAAATGCCTGACGCCAGATTGTGCAAATTGGGCAAGGATACAAACGAGTACAAAGTCTGCAAGTATGAAGTTTTTCTTCATAAACCTGATTATTAAAGCCAAATGAATTGCCGAATTATCGAGCTCTAAGCTTGATGCCGCTATTAAAGCAGCCAAGGTAGACAAATCAAGAATACTAGAGAGCGAAAGAAGTACTACAATCTCGAAAACGAACTCGAAAGCTTCCAGGCTACAGGTGAAAAAACACATAATATCTGTCTTCTCTTAAATGCATTAAACACTATTCCAATCACATCAATTGAATCGGAAAGGGCATTCTCGGTGGCAAGACTTTTCATTACTAAAATAAGAATTAGAGTGAGTTATCGGAGTATTGACCATCTTTGCTTTTTAAAATCTTATAAAAGTTTGCAATATTTTGTATTATATTTTATTTAAAAAACGAAAATTACCTTCTAAATTAGAAGTTCATTTTTTTAATTTTTAACTCAATTCAAAACTTTTTTTTTGTTGTTGTTGTATGCAGTTTCCAGCAAACTTTAATTAATTTTTTTCTATTTGTGAAAATTTATACGTAATTCAAAGGTAATTTTTACTATATATCTTACACAGCATTATTAATATGATTTTGGAGGTTACAGAACGTATTAAATTACTTTAAAAAACAAAAAATAATTATATTATTTGATTTCATGATATTCTGTATACCTTAAAAATAATTAATTCTATCCCGGGATTTCCCGGGATCCCGGGACAAGCAAAAGACCGGGAAATGAGAAACCCTAATTGTAACTCATCAAGAAGTCAGCTGAGCAGGAGAACGATGTCAACGTTCAGTTTCAATTTTAATTTTGGTTTGATTTCTTTCGGAACAAAAAATGTTTCTTTTCAGTGTGAAATGACTTTTTGTTCGAAATCAGAATAAGGATTAACAGTTAAAGTTAAAAGTTAACCAATAAAGGTTTCGGTACTAAAAGTAAAGCTAACGATGATTGGTTAAATGTGATTATTGGGTGTGAATACGGCCTTTAAAGTACTAGTAAAGGAATCGAGTAATGTAACACAATAAAAATATTCTGTCTTTAATGTATTAAATAAAGTTTGCAGTTTTCCAATAATAGTTTATTTCTATTGTATCGAACACATTTTACTTGGAACCGTAAGCAGATGTGTAAATTTCAAAACGATTACATGAAAATAGCAGAGTTTTGGTTGGTCCAATTTTCAAATTTAATTTTATCAAAATTACGGTTTTAGTTATCCAATTATGGTCCCACGTCCACGAAATATAGCTTAAACATTAATTAATTTTAATAATTGTTCTTAATTTATAATTCATTCATTTTTTGCTTTTATGTTTTTTTCACAAAATGAAATGTTATAAAAGCGGAATTTCTTATATAACTTGTTTTATACTTCAATACAAGTAACCTCTAGCAATTCTATTCAGACCTATTATCTGTACAACGAAATTACTCAAAACAAATTCTATACTTTAATATTGATACATGCAAATGAAATCGAAAAATTATCAAAATCATAATCAAATTATGAAAACAATTATCAGAATTAAACTTAAAATAGTAACTAAAACACGACAAATGTTTAATTATTGTTACTGTAAAATTTCTATTCCAGTATATCAACTATTCTTTCATTTTATGGATTAACATTCTCAGTTGATGATATTGGAATAGACGTATTATTATTCTTCTCCCTTGCTGCTGTAGTAGAAATACCATCTTCTGTCATTTACTTTTACCTTCAAAAATTCAGCGGAAGGCGATATACACTGACCGTTTCTATGGCAGGAAGTGGTCTGATGCATCTTTTAGCAATTGCATTCCAATCAGGTATTTTTACAGCTTAATATTTTAATTTCAATTATTAATGTTTAACTTAATTATCTACAATTTCAGATTATCCAATCATCCTAATTGTTTTAAGTGTAGCATCAAGACTCTGTACAGTGATTGCTATAAATTCCTTGTATTTACTTGTAATGGAAATTTATCCTACTGTTGTACGCAATGTTGGTGTGGGATTATTTTCAATGATGACACGAATAGGTGCTCTGGCAGCTCCATTTATGAAAGAAGCAGTACGTATTATTTAATTTAAGTAAAATTTGTGTTTATTTTTTTAATATGAAAGATTATATAATTTTTTAAGGCAAAGAATGTTCATATTTCATTTCCCCTTGCGTTGTTTGGAACACTTTTTATTATAAGCAGTGCTTTGTCCTTACTCTTACCGGAAACTAAAGATTCGCAATTGGCTGATACCTTATCACAATTAGAAGATAGAAAAAAGTAAGTATGATACGAAATAATCTATATGAAATAAAACAATGCCAGAGATTTAGATTAATCAAATATTCCTAAATAAAAGGTTTATTCTATGTTAAGGCAAATACTTGTAAAAATCTTCCTGAAGAGCATTTTTATGTTATAACTAGCTGTAAAGACCCGCTTCGCTGGGTTTTTATTTGTTCGTACATTTGTATGTAATATAGTTTTTTTATATATATATAAAATACTGTTTCTCTAAGTAATCTAGAATCTAGCTGCAAGGACCGGCTTCGCTGGGCAAAAAGCAACGATAGTGAAGATTAAGATAATTTCATTATTGCCAATCTTACCCGTTTTCACAGAATGCAAGAATTAGGTCCCCCGTTTTCAGACTAATTAGAGAATTTTTACGTTTAGTCAAACGAACTATTTTCAACGTTTCTGGAACGTTTACAATCGTTCTATAATCGAACCAATATTCGAATTTTATGTTCGAATTTAATTCGAACAATTTCGAACAAAACATTCGAAATAGAAAGCCACTTTCAACCACTTTCANTCCTTTTCATTAGTTTTTCCTGTAAACACGGAGAATTTAACATATTCCAGTTTTACTTCATTTAATAATTTCAGAAAATTTTCTTCCCACAACGTAGAAATTTCATTCGTGTGATTGCCGTTGTCAATGAAATATATCAAACGAATTGCTTTGAAGTCTTTCACTAAACTGTGTTCGTCTGTCGTTACACCACCTAATCCTATTGTATAAATTTGAACTTTTGACGATTCTGAATTGATATTAACTGGATACCTGCAAAATAACATTTTGTTTTGTAATATATAATTTAAAACACTTAAATTAATACCCACTTTACTGAAGATATATTAACGTGTTTAAGATCTTAAATATCTTTAACCACCTTTGATTCTAATGCTAATATACTTAATTTTGATTAAAGTACTATAGGATCATCTATTTGACTAGTTTTATAAATGAATTATAAAAGACATTCATACCTTATTTTAAAGTTTCCTTTCTGAAATTCTGTAATTTTCGTCTTCAAATTTAATACGTCGTTTTCAATACATTGTCCTTCAATTTTACAACAAATATCAGCAAATCTGTAACTTTTTCTCTTCCATACAATACTCATATTACGTATTGTTTGATCCAGTATGTGTAATTCGTTAAAGATTTCATTTAATAACATAGATTCTCCCCTTTTTGCAGTTGCTATGACAGCTCCGTATTTTTCCATTTTCGTCAGTCGTAGAATATCATAATCTGTATAGTTTTGGGGATACAAAGTTTCGACAATTGGCTTTGCCATTGTAATTCGACTGTTTCTTCTAAAGTGTAGATATTCGACGTCTGTTGTCATCTTAAAACGAAATAATCCGAAGCATGAGAGGACAGTAACGATAACGGGAATAATTATGAACCTTAAGGGATGTTGTGCAACGTGGTATCCCAAATATCGAAAAGCCGTAGATAATTTTACATTTATACAATTAAACTTTTTATTTTTGCATGCAGCCATAATGAGAGATGAAATCTTGTTTTAAGAGAGAATTATTTGTAAAATCTGTAAGATAAATACAAATTTTCATTATCAGTGGTAACGTATAATATAAATATAAGCAGTTTACATTTACAGTAGACCCCCCTATAACACTGTAGATAATTCCGTGTTATACGAATTTCATGTTGTACGAGTCACTTAGATTTTACAAATACGTAAGCCGTTCACAGCCCGACACACGTATTTGTAAAATCTAAGTGACTCGTACAACATGGAATTCATATAACACGGAATTATCTACAGTGTTATATGGGGGTCTACTGCATACGAATTATAATATGGCCGGGACACTAATTTAGAATATACCTCTAGTATGTTATAATTCTGCCTCAGAAAGTTTGTACTTTTAACATTTGTGTTTAATTATTAGTGATTAAAGGTAAATTTCCTATTATTAAGGCATTCCCAAACTTTCATTTATTACTGACGAATAGTTTTTGCAGCAGCTAGCTGGGAAATGTCAAGTTTTATTCGGGACACCCTGTATAATACAAGAATGCGTCGCTTAATAACGGAGGTACCATAATTGAGTTTAAAAATTCGTATTCTTCTTACTATTTTTATGTTTAAATACATATATATGTAATAATAACTACTACATATATACGTAGTAGTTATTATTATGTTTCACTATTTCACTACAGTTATACGTCTGAACAATGGCCACTGACAGAGACATAAAAAATGACAGAGTTAAAAATTGCAGAGATTGTGACCGTGGCTAACCCATGATAGATGTGGATTAAAAATGGAATAACAGCTATAAAAAAAAAATAATAGAAGAGTTCTATGAAAAAGTAACTTTATAACTTAATAAAATTTCCCGTCATTGAGCATTTACAGTGAAAACTGCTTAGGCGACCACCTCCATTCGACGGGCACCTGTCAAAACCGGCAAAAATTTCTGGTACCGAATACTTTATCCATAGAGTCTTCATATAAGTTACCTGTATTAAACGACCACCTGTGTAACGCGACCGCGGGTATCGATTTTTGGTCCGAAACAACATACAACAACTGTAATAAGTGACCACTTCCGCGAATATATCTGGTCTAAACTATTGTTCGAACCCATCTCAACAATGTTTCTCCCCTCCTAATATAATGAATTAGTTTAAACTCTCGTTCGAACTCACCTCGGGCACTTCTATCCTTGAAATTAGGTGTAGGTATTAATGAATTAGTGTAGCAACAAAGGAAATTCATTTCAATTTGTTCGAAATTGTCCGAAAAACGAAAGAAATGCAAAGTGCTGTCGTTAGAAGATCGTGTTAATACGTTTATTGCAGGGCTGTGGAGTATGAGTCGGAGTCGGAGTCGTGGAGTTATGGTGTTTTAGCCGGAGTCGGAGTCGGAGTCGGTAGATTTTTATGCGACTCCACAGCCCTGGTTTATTGTTTTTTGAATATTTTGCGTGCGAAAATTACTTGGATATTATTTTTCTAAAATATATCGTAGAAATAAGGTAGGTTGATACAGAAACTATTTATCGCACACCTACTGTATATGAGCTTCAAAAAACAAAGAAAAAAATTATCAAACGATGAGATCAGCCGATTAATTGTATCCTGTACAATATTTTATACCCCTAAGGAAAATACTGAAGGTCTACGATAAAATAAATTTCGTTTTCCCACAGTTAAACTTCGCCGCTAATTGCTGTTGTGATAACTTAATGGAAAAATCAGCTGTACAGGCAACCTTCCTTTTTTCGATTCCGCAATGACAATCGCGGAATGTAATGAAATCGTATGATGAGAAAAAAATAATAAAATCGTTTTATTATTAATTACTAATTTTTCTTATTGTACTTAAGAAAATATTTCTAAAAAATGCAGTATTTTTAAAGTTAAAATAAGATTAAACTAACGAATACCAAAACCAAAGTGACGTAGAGATACTACGCGCTTGTATATCAATGACGTAATACACGTAACTGAAGAGCGAACGAAAAGAACCAAATTGAATTAAATCGGAAAAAAAGAAAATGTGCATTACAATAGAGAAAATGCGACTATTGTATTAATCTTTAAAATACTGGTATTAAATCTGACTTATAAAATTACGACGACTCCCGTAAATCGAGTTATCCTATAAGAATAAAATACAATACCAATATAGCCCTATGGTTGAAAAATTCGCTTATTTTTGCTCGCTTCGAGTTTTACTTAGTAGAAATGGCTAAAAAGTGCGCAAAATACGTAAGGAAATACGGTATTACGGCACCACCTGTATTGGACGACCACTTGTCCAGAAGACTACTTTTTGAAGGAACCGTGGATGGTCGCCACTGTAATTACATTTGAATTTCATTTCCTACAACATTTAATGATTTATTTAAAGTTTGATTATAAAATTACTCTAAAACATATATCATCTTAGAGAACAGATGTACGAGGTATGAGTAAAATATACAGAATACTACAAATTAAATGAAAATTACTTAGGAATGACTAAAGGTGAGAAGATCGGACTAATTATGACTAAACAAGGCTGATAGGGAATTAATTATACGTGTTTAAAAGTTGGTGAATGCATTTGTCAAAGACACGAGCATTATGAGGTCCTATGGAGGGTTTCTCGCCAAAGTATAATAGTATGTGGGGTTAAAAATGGTGCTATCGGAAAGTACATAAAAATCTGAACGATGTTTATTATGATTTTTAATAAGTCGTGTCACTGTCTAGTAAAGTAAACATAAAGATGAAAATTACAAAAGGCAGTCAATCATGTAATCAGGCGCAAGTGTTATTAGAATAAGTATTTACTAGTGATGCAACGAATAGTATATTCGGTCTCGGGCCGAATACCGAATATTCGGCCAGGAGAGTGGCCGAATAGCCGAATATTCGGCCAAACTATTCGGCTCGATTAACACACGTACGAAACTTGAAAAGGCTCGCTTACCCAGCTCTCTATTGGCCCTCTGTCACTACGCTTCGCCAATCGAGTTAATTCTTGACAGTTGTAGAGAACAGAAACGAGCGTCATGTCAGTATGTGATGAATAATGATATCAAATGTGGATAACAATAAAATGACCTACACGTGTAAATAACATATACTGCACTTACTACCTATTATCTATACATCTACTATCATCTATCAAAATGGACGAGTGCAGTTGTTGTCAGTATGGTCAACTTATGCTAACAATTATGCCTGTTTATACTCTTCCCAACCTACCTTCCTCGACTTACATCTTTATATTTACTACCCCCCACGTACCGTTAAGCAACAAACCTCAATTGAAACTTATTTAACGACTTACCTTTACGAAAAGTTGGTGTAGTGTTTGTCTACTGTTTTGAAGTGCATAATATATATTATATTTAAATTTATAAAAGCAAGTTTTTTAAGTTGAATTAGAAACCTGATTTGTGTTATTTTTGTTTCCTTCAAGGTCTCAGGAAAAGAAAAATTAATAATTCAAATATGTAAATGTGTTTCTAATTTAATTCATTTTACCTTTAAATTAACATTATACGTCTATATTGTCTCATAAGTATGGCTTAATTGGTAGTTAGTTTAAGTCTCATAAGTATGGTAAAATTGAATGTTCTCTTTGAAGTTAAGGCCGTAACGTCAATTTTATACATTAGTATTAAGCACTTCTTTGCAGTTTTGAAAGTTCCACCCTGAAACCAAGGAGACGTTGTTTCCAAGAGACTAAGATTGTCAAGTGTTCCGAAGATTAACATTGTGTTGTTATTGTTTGAACTGGAATCGAACAGAAGGTAATCTCGGCCAAACTCTCAAAATTTAAAATTGCGGGTTATTCCCTGAAAGATTTAAGTAAGTTTTATTAACGAACAGCGAATATTTATTGAGTCGTAACTGAAGAATTAATCGTTTAACATTTAGATCTATTGGCAACCACATATAAAGTTGAAAAGAGGGAGGGAATGTTAAGAATATTAATATACCAGGGATGATAGTTGCTTTGATTTAGAGAAATCTGATCTTTGTTAATTGACTGAGATATTGTAGAGCTTATTAAAAGGGAATATACGTATTTCCAGTTATGAATTGAGTCTGTAAAAAATAGTTCTCATACTCCGAATGTGTTTAATAGTCTATGAATTTTATATCGACATAATTGCTTATTATTGTCGTTTTTGCTGTGCTTTATCATTTTTTGATGTAAAAAATCTAATATTATCATCACTTTTATATTTCAGTCTGTAAATGGGGAAAGGTCCAAATACGGTTTGTTTCGTGTCGAATGGCGTATCCAGGAATTGTATTTTCTAGCTGAAATAATTTACGAAGACAGTATTGATAGATATGTAGAGTTTCAAGATTGTATAAATAATCCAAGCCCCAAATTGGGCTTGCATAATAGATGATAGGGTTTACTATAGTATTATAGAATTTCAGATGGATATTTAAATTTGAGGTTGTCATTGATTTTAGTCCATTGCATCATAGAAGTAAAGCATTTTCTTAACGTTGATAACAGAGCAATAGATCTATAGTTACGTGGAGAGGACTTGTCGCCCTTTTTGTATAGCATTGTTAGAATAACTGTTACACGGAGATTATTGTCTGGAGGGGTTTTTAAAATTATTTTTAAAATTATTACATCATTATAAATAAATCTAGAATTTATTTACGTGCCTAGAACGTGGACATCCGTATGGAAACTTGGAATAAGAGAACGGAGGAGGAGTTATATGAGAGATGACACGAAAGAAAGTCACTCAACACGATAGTTAATTCATATAATAAAGGGATTTATTAAAGCTG